GCCATCCCTGGGGGCTGGGGGGCTGCGATCTGTGAAACTGTCGCCACTTTTGAGGGCTGCTGGTGGGTCCAGCGGAGTGAGGCACCACGGGGATTCAGATTAGACCTCGCCATCTCTGGGGGGGGGCTGCGATCTCTGAAACTGTCGCCACTTTCGAGGGCTGCCGGAGGGCCCAGCGGAGTGGGGACATATTCGGATTCAGATTAGACCTCGCCATCCTTGGGGGGCTGCAATCTGCGAAACTGTCACCACTTTCGAGGGCTGCTGGGCGGCCCAGCGGAGTGACGTCATACGCGAGCCTGGGGCTTTAATCCTCGTTCTTTCGATCGTCGTCCTGTGAGCCGTGCAATGCGTGCGCATCCCATGTAGTTTGCACAGCAATTCACATCGCCTACATTATCGTTGTTCCTGCTAATGTTGGCCTACTCCTCTTGCCACTTGATGCACGTGGGTTGGGTACGTCGCAGGGTAATTTGTGTTGCGCATTTGTCTCGCAATGCATTTTGTCCAGACACGCCAGATTCCCGAGGCCACGGCCTCGCCCACCTGGTCTTGAGAAGGCCCGGATGCTGTCCGCAACGGTGGTCGCATTGCACCGCATACGTGGGCGGATTGCTCACGTAGAGCCGGGTGCAGCAAACATGTGAGAATGTGTGCTGTCTGGTCTGCTGCGAAAGAGTTAAACATCGGTATTGCTGCTGTGCTGCTACTCTGAGGCTGGGTGCATACAGCCTCCAATGTATACACACAGTGATCCCATGTGGGATCTAAAAAGGTGGCGTATTGTCGCCGAAGTGCTGCTGCCTTCAGGTCTAGTGCGCGCGAATGCTTCTAGCTGTGGTCCGAGGCCGCATGCAAGTGAGCTCTTCGTTGCAAAATGTGGCGTAGTGCCGCCGAAGTACTATTAATGCCGTATGGTGTCCACTTCAACCGCCCCCCAACTGAACCGACCAGGCATCCACCCTCCCATGTAAGCGAGCTGCATTAAGGGACTGGCAACTTGGGCTGCTGTGGGGTTTTGTAGGCGCACCCCGAACCTTGACAGGAGAGAAGAGCCACCAGAGTGTCGAACGGGAAAGAGAAGAGCAGCGTGTAGAGCGCATCAGTGACGGGAGGGTAGCAGCGGCGGTGAGAAAAGCATGGGCTTCAAATTGGAGGATACTATTGTTAGTACCTGCTCCTCTCCCTCCTTCTCATCCTCCTCCTCCTCCTCCTCCTGCTCCTCCAGGGCGGTCTCGACACTTCAACCTTTGGGCGCGCTCACCATCCTCGCAGCCGAACCCCCCTCAGTGCACCGACAAAATTGTATTGTCGCGCCCCGCGTTTGGCACGGTAGACTCGTGGCCCTAGCAGAACTCCTAAATTCTCGGGGGTGGCGTTGGAAAAAAGGAAGGCCGGCGGAAGGCGGCGGAAGTAAATGAACCCGGCGTGACCCCAATTAGGGGAAAGGTTTGCATTGCATGGGCGCAGTGGGGCGCAGTGCTTGGAATTGCTTGGCAGTGCTTGGCAGTGCTTGGCGTTGCTTGGCAGTGCTTGGCATTGCTTGGCACTGCTTGGCAGTGCTTGGTATTGCTCTGCATTGGTTGGCAGTGCTTGGCAGTGCTTGGCATTGCTTGGCACTGCTTGGCAGTGCTCGGCAGTGCTTGGCAGTGCTTGGCAGTGCTTGGCAGTGTTTGGCATTGTTTGGCATTGCTTGGCATTGCTTGGCATCGCTTCGCATTATTGCTGCGCATTGCTTCGCATTGCTCCGAATTGAT